TCATCACAAACTGGTTAGCTCAACGTTTCCAGAATTAATTTGACGAGCCCGGCGACAAATCGAATACAATCAACCAGTTGGTAATCTCGAGGGAGAAATCGAACAGAACCACTATAATTGGAAATCATGTTCGGGCTTACGATTTTGTAGTGGTGTATTATTTTTCTGCGTGTTCTTTTAAGCTCGGTAATTAGCTCGTCTAGACAATCGTTACACTAAATAGCGTCTGACGATTTATAAATCAGAAGATGAATTCGTAGTGATGAATACGTTTATTTGGGATATACCACATCAGGATTTTCAATACAAATGTCAAGACAGTTCTACTGTATGGAGCGGAAACTTGGAGAACTACCAAAGCCATCATCCAGAAGATACAAGTGTTTATTAACAGTTGTCTACGCAAAATACTTCGGATTCGTTGGCCAGACACCATCAGCAACAACGTACTGTGGGAGAAAACAAACCAGATTTCAGTGGAGGAGGAAATGAGGAAGAAGCGGTGAAAGTGGATAGGACACACATTACGGAAAGCACCAAACTGCATCACAATACAAGCCCTCACATGGAACCCCCAAGGCGAAAGGAAAAGAGGAAGGCCAAAGAATACATTACGCCGAGAAATAGAGAAAGATATGAGAGGAATGAACAAACATTGGACAGAATAGGAGAGGGAAGCCCAGGACAGAGTTGGTTTGAGAAAACTGGTGGTTGGCCTATGCTCCATTGGGGGCAACAGGCGTAAGTAAGTAAGTAAGTACAAAGCGAAGCACAGAAACAGTGAATAAAACGAATGAAGCGATGTGAATTGGAGAAGGCTGTTGAGCCAACCCCAACGCGCTTCACCTGTTCATTCGTTTCTTTCCTTCGCCCATTCGTTCACATCGTAATCCTAGGAGTTAGCTCAACAGCCTTCTCCACATTGCTTCCTTCGCCCGTTCGTTCGCATTGGAATCATGGGAGTTGGCTCAACAACCTTCTCCGATTCAAGTTGCTTCATTCGTTTTATTCACTGCTTCTCCGATTCGCTTTGTGGTGTATCCCAAATAAACGTATTCATCACTTCGAGTTCGCCTTATGATTTAAAAACAGTGAGACGCTATTTTTTGACGATTGTGTGGACGAGCTAATTACCGAGCTTAAGAACAAGCAGAAAAATGATACACCACTACAAGTTGATGAATGTTAGACTAGCATTGGAGCAAGCTCAAAGCATTGGATGGTTCGTTGTTTCATCTGAAATGTGACGCGGTTGTTTCACGGATTTCCAAGAAACTTCAACAATCATCAGAACCAGATATTTGAGAATTATCATAGACTCACTTGGGACCAGCTTCGTGAAGGAATTCTCGAAGTTTTAGGGAGAAGAAGTGACCAGTGGAGTTGATCCTTGTCGGGTGTAAGCAGTAACTACTACCAAAGACCAATGAGTGAGGTTGCGCAAAATCCTTAGATTGATCAGAGTTAGATAAAAACACCGTTGGATGCGGCCGGCTTAGTGGTTTAGAAGTTAGCAGTTCGCGTGCAATACCGAAGGTCCTTGGTTCGACTGTCGCATTCGAGGGTCGTGAACATACGCTGTTCAGTCTCATCTTAAGGACGAAACGACTGTTCAGTGCCTGCAGGTTTCTATTGGTGGTCTAACAATCATTCTAGCTCACATAATTCGTATGATATTTTTGAAAACCTAATTATATTTTTTTTAGACATTCATTTAAACAAATTAGAAATTGCATTACAGGGCTGTAATGATCGGTAAGTTACACGTTTTACAGCCATGAATCCATCAATGTTAGACTACTATTAGAAACCTGCAAGCATTGGACGACCATTTCGTTCTGGTATGAGACTCATCAGTGGTAGTGCGCATCCACAACACCCACACTTCACGGTATTCGAATACAAGACCTTCGGTCTTGTGCGCGAACACTTGACCTCTGGACAACTGAGCCGGCATCTAATAGTGTCCTATGCCGGGACCAAACGGCCATCCAAAACTATTCGTGCTAGTCATTATGTTAATGACAATTCTCTTAAGTAGTACCGTCCATTGACTATATTAAGACATGAAACTAGAATTGCCAGACTTAGTGGTAAGTTTGTCACGTTTTGGACTGACAAGTAGGGAGGATTGTTATTCACAGTAAGATGAATCATGTTTCTTATGAAGAAGAAGAAGAATTAGGATACACATTGAACAACACAATTAGTTTAGAAACAAAAGATAATGGACGTATTTATCAGTCATGAAAGTAACGACAAGGTATTGATTTTAACTTGAAACTACATATAAGTGTACATTGTACTTTACACAGTTTTGAAATTATCAATCAATCATTGTTAGACCACCGGCATTAGAAACCTCTGGAAGCACTGAGAGATGGCCGTTTCATCGTGGTATGGGACTACTCATCACTTGCAGTGAGCATCCACGACTCCTGCACCTCTCAGTCATTCGAACCCAGGACCTTCCGTCTTGCGCGCGAACGCCTAACCTTTGGACCACTGAGCCAGCATCTAACGGTGTTCATGTTTAACTCTGATTGATCTATGGATTTTGAGCGACCTCACTCATTTGTATTTGGTAGTTACTGCCTACACCCGACAAGGTTGAACTCCTCCACTGGTCACGTCTTCTCTCACTTAGACTCCGAGAACTTTCCTCACGAAGCTAAGTCACCACTAGTGAGCACATGTTACGATTGTTTTTACAATTAGAATTATGGAGATAAGTGTTTTTTTTACATATTTTTGAAATCATCTCCTGTGAGACGCAGGAGTTGTGGATGCGCACTGCCACTGATGAGTAGTCAGTCCTATAACAGGATGAAACGGCCATCTTTCAGTGCTCTCAGAGGTTTCTAATGGTGGGTAGTCTAATAATGAATTAATTGATGATTTAAAAAATGTGTTTAAAAATACACTAATCTCCATAAATCTAATTGAAAACATTGTACATTACCTGATGTTATATGTATCTATCTATCTATCTATCTATCTATCAATCCGAGCTTATTCACTTATCATCAATGTACGCTTTTTTCAATACGGAACTGTACAGTTTTTTTTTCAAGTTACATTGACAATTTTGCTTTAAGAAAAAGTGTAATCTAAGTGATTAATTTATTGAATTGTTAATCAATACAACGGACTTGGTCAATAATATATATTGTGAATTGCAAAATTGGTCTTCAATAGATAGGTAGACGTAGGTTAGCGTAGAAAAAACGACATTTGAACGCCAACTGTTCACATAGTGAATATAAATCAAAGTCTTATTTTCAAAACGTGGAAAAAAAAGAAATTTTGAACATATATATATATATATATATGTATATATTATCTTTGGGAAAGTTAAAACACCAAGTTTGCTTGCTTAGCATATATATATATATATATATATATATATATATATATATATATATATATATACTACATAAGTAGTAAGTACAAGAGTCAGAAGAATGCATGAATCAGTAGATTGAAAGAAAGATACACATAGTTTTAAAATTATTATCTATACTACTGAAATGAAATTTAACTTTCTCATTCATTGGTTATGTGATCAGTGATGTGAACTACAATCAGATAGTTTACTGTTATCCTATATATATATATATAGCTTATTTCAACAGTCAATAATTTCTTAGATTAATATGGACGGTTTAGATTGTTTTAATCCTATTATAGTTGTTTCAACCCTATTCTTAGGCAAGTGTTAAGTTAAAAGTGGTGTGCTTTTTTTTTACAAATGATTACATAACTTGACTAACTTATTTTATAGTTGAGTGATATTTGTTCAACCTTCGCCAGCGGACATGAAGTAGTCGAACGTGTAGATCGCTTCATTTATCTTGGCAGTGCTGATTGCGTGGTGACTGACGAAATTTCAGCATGGATACAGAAAGCTCGATTGGCTTTTGCCAACTTGCGCAGGCGAGATATACGTTTGATAATCAAAGGACGAGTCCACTGCGCAGCAGTTCACTCCGTCCTACTATACAGATGAGAAACATTTCTATGGAAAGACGAGGACATTCTCGGATTGCTGGTCTTCGATCATAGGTGTCCTCGAAGCATTGCTCGAGTATCGTGGGACAACTGAGTAAGCAATGCTATAGTCAGGAAACGATTTCTAGGTAAGGATGGCAAATCAATAGATGAAGGGGTGAAACTTCATCAGTTGAGGTGGTTGGGACATATGTTACGAATGTCCAACCACAGACTGCCTCGACGAGCTATGTTTTGTGGTGTAGGAGTAGGTTGGAAGAACGGTAGGGCCGGCCAGACCAAAACATGGCTCAAATCCATGAAGTCATTGACAAGTGGACTGAGTCATGTTGGTAGATATAGGCTACCTGGTTGGGGTCCGTGAGACCAAAGTCATTGATGGTTAGAGACCTTGAACGACATGGTTCAAAAACATTTGTAATGGATCAGGTGCATATACTCTTTGTGTTCTGTCAAATTCTAACCTTCTGAATTCCTCAGAATCCCCATCTTCCTCTTTCTAACTTTATCTCACTGAAATATACCCTAATCTTCTCCATTACTGCTAATACTTCTACAATCGCTTCCACTGTTAGATATGAAATGACAGTTGCGTCTCTGTGCTAATGTGTGGTATGGCAACCTGAAATGATGCACATACGTACGAAGTTCTGTGTTGTATGTCTGTCTATCTGTCTGTCTGGACCTTCAAGAGTTATTGATGGTCCCAAAGCCCCACATAAAGTAGGTGGGTTGAGTATAGCGGTTAGCAATCTCAACCTGTAAAAAAAAAACAAACTTTGCCAAAACAAAACGCTAACGATATTTATTCATGAATGTTGAGTTCCCCCTCTTCAAATGAACGGCCATCACAAAAACAATAAAAATGGTTACTATAAATATTATATTCACTTAAGTACGATAAAACTAACACTTTCAATTTTCAACTTCAATCCTAATATATCAGTTAAGGTAAACTTTTTATTTTAAAAAATACACATAAAACTTACATGGAATAATCTGTAAAAAATTTTTTTGAATCAGTAACCGAACGTATATTTAAATAATCCATTTTAATTTATTATAAAAATCAAAATAATTAATATCCACTTCACATTAGTGTATCATAAACTTGATTTTTTTTAAAAAAAAAATCTTTTTTTCGCTTTAATGTTCAATAAAAATTTCAATTTTCAATTGTCATTTGGTTACTTATTCAATTATTTATTTACATCGAAACTTTCTTTGGCCAATCAGAGATGAAAAATCAAATTTTGTAAACTAATTTCTGATTGGTTAGCTGATATTTAGTAGTAGTGGTAGCAGTAGCAGTGTAGCATTAACAAATTTCCACCAAAATTTGCGCTGTCATTTGTGTTTTTTCACAGTGACATTTTTTTTACCACTGGGATAATGATTTTTTTCTTTTGTTGTTGCAAAAACTGTATTTTAATTAGATCGTGATTCGCAATGACTGGTTTTAAGTGAATATGTTATTGGAAAGTATTTTATTTCAAGTGTATCGATCATTAGGATGATAGGGATTTTAAAAAAATATTGATGCATTGGTGTTATGATGATTGTGCTGGTAAGAGTAGAGGATATCCACTAGGTATCTCCAAATCGTTGCTGATTTATCTTCTTGGCACTATCGAGTAAACAATGAAGTTGATAGGGGAAACGGGGTACTAGGTAAGGATGGCAGATCAATAAATGAAGTAGTGAAACTTCATCAGTTGAGGTGGTTGGGACATGTGTTGCGTATGCCCGACCACCGACTGCCGCGACGAACTATGTTTTGCGGTGTAGGAATAGGCTGGAAGAACGGTAGGGGCGGCCAAACCAAAACATGGCACAAATCCATGAAATTACTGACAAGTGAATGAGAGGGTTACTTTTTGAAATCATGCAGTTCAACTTGTATTCGGGTGTGAAGCAGTGCCCGTCGAAGACAGTGGATGAGGTTGTTCAAGACCGTGGATAGATAGAAGTAAGACACTGGCACTGTTAGATACAGGCTCAATGGTTCAGAGGTTAGGCTCGTGTGCAAGGCCGAAGGTTCTGGGTTCGAATCCTACTTGTAGTAGGTGTTTAGTTCGCAAAATTAGAAGATAAAAAGTTTTGGTTCAGTGGTAGATACGATGTAAGCAGAAAAATTACCCAATGGGCAGTATATACTAGCGGAGTGAGGTGATCATCAACTTAAACTCTGAGAGTGCGTGTACCTATGTACGTAAATCGATCATGAAGTGCACAGACGGAAGTTTAAATACCAGTGATATACATTTCATGCATAAGAGACAATATTTAATTGTAAACATGTATGAAGGAGTGGTAACGATGATCTATCCCCTACCAAGAGGAGGAGATATATCTTTATGTAGACCAGGGGATGGCATGAATGAAAACTTATATATTATTGGTTTGTATGCAAAAGATACTAGTTCCTAGCGCAACCATCACGCGTTAAGACAAAATTAGTGAGGATTGACTGATTTCGATAACCGTAAAAAAACCCAGCCAGAATTAGTGAATAAAATGAAGCCAGCCTAAATGTAACAAAATTTACAATTGTATGGAATCTCAATGGTCTAAAGGTTAGGTATTTGTACATGAGATCGGAAGTTCTCTAAGTTAGATCCTATCGTGAAGGCACGGCTGAACTGTTTCGCACTTGAATGAAAGAGAGACATTAAGTGTTTGTCGGTTTTCAATACTGGTCACTTCATTTCAGTAGTGAAAATATACAACAACCACTCCCTCCCACAAATCCTTATTACCTATATATATATATCTGACAGACAGACAGACAGATGGAACTCAGAACTTCGTACGTACGCACATCAGTTCAGGTTGCCATACCACATTATTAGCACAGAGAGGCAACTGTCAGTTCAAATCCAACAGTGGTATCGATAGTAGAAGTATTAGCAGTAATGGAGAAGCCTAGGAAGCGAAGATATGATTCGAAAAGTATAATTCAGTGAGATAAATTTAGAAGGAGAAAGATAGAGATTATGAAGAATGCAGAAGCTTAGAATTTCATAGAACACAAAGAGTGGATGCTCCATTTCAATCGATTCTGAGCCATGTCATTAAAGGTCTTTAACCATCGATGACTATCGTCTCGCGGACCCTAAACCAGATAGCCTATATCTACCAACATGACTCAGTCCACTTGTCAGTGACTTCATGCATTTGTGCCATGTTTTGGTTTGGTCGCCCTTAGCTTTCTTCCAACTTACACCTACACCACAAAACATAGCTCGTCGAGGCAGTCGGTGGTTAGGCATACTTAATACATGTCCCAACCACCTCAACTGATGAAGTTTAACTACTTCATTTATTGATTTGTCGTCCCTACATATATATATATATCAACTTTTGTCTTGAAAAGTTGAATTTTTTGTTTAATTTGTGAAGGAATTTCATCCGTTTTTTCCGTCAACTTCACAAAATAACAAAACAAAACGAAACTAAACCAAAACTTCCATACACGACGTATTTAAAAGAAAGTATTTCAGTATGAACACTAGACAGCATATGTTATGAATAATAATAACGTTAACGACAACACATTTACGTTGACACTTTGTGAGAAAATTTATTCCCCTTTTATATTTGTCGTAAAAACGACACACACACACACATGAGACATTTGATATTTCAATTTTTCGTGTAAGTAGTTTTTAACCTAGCTAATAGTAGTAGTGTGGTGAGAGCTACTTATAAGTAGTATATGACGTGAGTGTTAACGTAATGTCTGGCTGCGGAAGATGAGGAGAGATCAAGAAAGGAAGAGTTAGAAGAACACAATGGAATTTATATAAAACGTATGAATAGTGAGTGACAATGGATTGATGTTTTGCAACAGGAACAGTCCAGTTCGATATGATGAACTGATAATTTGCAAATGAACGATTTACGATATGGTTTTCCAATTTTACTGAGTAACTCTGTGATTTTTCGTTAAATACAATTCGGTTGTCCCACCTGTGTTCTCGTTCACAACATTTGGTGTCGTTACCTGCTCAAAGGAAGGAGCTCCCGTGACCGAAGGGGTTGCAGGACGGGGATTTGCGGAGCTTCTTGTAGTAGTTTGCGGCCACGGTGTAGCTGGTGGGGGCCCGGGGCGGAGTTGACGGTGCTGGGTGCGCTGCGGGGAGGTGAGGCGAAGGTGGTATGCGACAGCCTGGACGGTGCCGCCGGGAAGACGGCGTGGGAGGTGGTCACCGGGCGGCTGATGACGGAGTTCGACAGCCCAGTGGACAGAGAGGAGGCGCCGCAGAGGTTCCGGTTGGTGAGGCTGTCGGATGATGGTGACCTGTTGGTGCTTGCTGTGGAGCTCACCAGATTGTTGCGCCGTTAGGAGTGGGGGGCACAGTTGTTGGCGTTGCAATTAATCGAGAGTGTGCCCACCGCCGTGTCCCAGCATCGGGAACTTGTAAACGCTACACGTTGGATAGATGCCGTATCCATTCCAGACCAGCGCGCAAGAACGATGACCGAAGTGGTAATCCGGTATATTGTAGCGTGTCACGGAATACGGGAAGTGATATTAACTGACCAGGGGCCCTGTTTTGAAAGACTACGACGACAGCTTATTAAAAGGGGGCCGAGTGTGGTGTGAGCTACTTATAAGTAGTATATGAGGTGGTGTCAACGTAATGTCTGGCAGCGGAAGATGAGGAGAGATCAAGCAAGAAAGGAAGAGTTAGAAAACAATGGAATTTGTATGAAACGCATGAATAGTGAGTGATAATGGATTGATGTTTTGCAACAGGAACAGTCCAGTTCGATATGATGGATTGATATTTTGCAAATGAACGATTTACGATATGGTTTTCCTATTTTAAACTGAGTAACTCTGTAATTTTCGTGAAATACAATTTGGTTGCCCCTCACCTGTGTTGTCGTTCACTACAGTAGTATGGATTGTTTGACAAAAAATTATATATTGTTTTTTTTTGTAATGGTCAGGTCGAGTTAAGGTTAACAATTTTGATTTATTTGTTACTTATCTACTGTTGTCAGAAGGGAAAAAATAGAAAGCGAAGTGAAGCGAGGCGAAAGAAGTTTGGTCATTCATTTGAAGAGAAGTTGACAATGATCGATATACAGTAGTTAGTTAGTTATAAAATGAATTCATTTTGAACTGTTTACTATGGCATTTGACAATAGAACTACTAGTAGAACCATTCCTACCCACCCTTCCACTTAGGTCGCAGATGAAGAGCCAGATATGTTCAGACCTACATGGAAATCATGCGTATTTATAGTTTTGTTTTTCAATATAGAAAAATGTGAAAATATCATCATAGTAAATTCTGTTAGGTTATTATGGTTGGATAGAATCTATTTGGCTTCCTGTGACAGCCATTAAGAAGCTACCTGGCTAGGGTCTGCGAGACGATAGTCATCGATAGTTAGAGACCTTGAATGACATGGCTCAGAATCGATTGAAATGGCTCAGGTGAATCCACTGTTTGTGTTCTATGAAATGCTAATCTTCTGCATTCTTCATAATCTCTATCTTTCTCCTTCTAAATTGATCTTACTGAATTATACTTCTCGAATCATATCTTCGCTTCCTAGGCTTCTCCATTACTGCTAATACTTCTACTATCGCTAACACTGTTGGATTTGAACTGACAGTTGCGTCTCTGTGCTAATAATGTGGTATGGCAACCTGAACTGATGTACGTACGTACGAAGTTCTGTGTTGTATCTGTCTGTCTGTCATTAGGAGGATTTATTGGAATTTCTGGGAGTTACCGGCAAAGTAGGAACGCATTTATTATTGATTAGTGTTTCGGTTGGTTGTTATTTTAGACAGCAACAGGAAACTTGTTACATACTAACTACACTAATTACACTTAATTATGCTGTTGACAATAGTTTCTCACCACCAGTGAGCATCCACCACTCCTTCGACTAGCATGATTTAAACCCAGGACCTTCGGTGTTGCATGAGAACGCATAACCTCTGTGCCACTGAGCCGGTGGTATTTAACGGTGTTAATGCATAACTTCGATCAATCCACAGTCTTGTGCAACCTTATCCCCAGTCTT